AAGTATTTGCTTTATTTTTGTTGCAAAATTACCTTTCTTCTGTATCGATAGGCTAGAAGAAAAAATTTCTGACATGGAATCTGAGAACAAAATTCTTCGGCAGCAAACCTTATTATCCACTGCTAAAGGAGTGTCTGACAATCCTTCTCATATGGCTACTAAGGTTTGATTTGATTTGTTAAGGAAATTGTCACTGTCCTTATATTCTTTCTTTTTCTCAAATCTTATGCTATTATCTTATGACCTGCGTACAGGGTTTGGAGAATGGGCACCATGCTAATGAATCCATCAAACCCTATGTACTATTCTCTTTTCATGGCAATATAAATCAAGCGAGCATGTTCTTAGTCACACTTTTTTTTTTTGGTAAAATTTGTTTAAAGTTTTAGTAAAGTTTTTTTTGACATAGATGTTATTGGTTTCTGCAGGATTTGCCACCTGTACCTGCTAAAGGCGACGAAACTCTCGACAGCAAACCAAAGAGACCCCCTACTGACCGTCAACATGTCTGTGCTGTTAGTAATTAAGATCTCAATCATTTTACATTCTTTAAATTTAAATAACTTGTTGGGTGGAAATAAAACTTAATTTTTTGCTGCAGGAGGATGTTGACGCTCTCATGGAATGCGTCATGAAAGACGTGGGTTTCAGTCAAGGCAAACCAGTTGCGGCTTTCACAATGTACAAGTGTCTTTTGCACTGGAAATCCTTTGAAGCCGAACGGACTAGCGTGTTTGATCGTCTCATTCAGATGATTGGTTCGGCTCTTGAGGTAATTCGGTAGTTTTGAATGCCTTGATTATTTGTTTATTCTTTTATTTTCTTCTTGTGGTTATGCATAAGAGTAACTAATAATTTATTCTAGTCTTTCATTCATCCGTTTGCAGACTGGCTTGTAAATCCGGCACTGTTATTCTCTAAATGTGTTCATGTTTTGTTATTGAGGGTTTGGTAGGCTAGGACAATCCATGCTACTTACTCTGGTCAAGTTCTCTGCATTCTTTAAAATTGGGAAAATTTGTGAAAACACCTCTGATGAAGCCTAAATACAGAAGTAGTCTAATTTTCTTTCAAGTATAAATCTGAAAAATCTCTTGGTATTACAAGTAACCTTGATTTACTAGTTCCTCAATGTCCGAGGTGCAATTTGTGAAAAGGAAACAAATGCCAAGATGAGATCATCATCGTCATCATTATTTGGTTTTTAATTATTTTGAACTTCAATGTTAGTTTTGTGTGGCTATCCCTTAGAAGTATGAGAAGACAATCACCTATTAGTTTCTAATAGTACACGGTAGCTTTTGGTATTACAGGAGAACGTGCAAATGACTAGCCAGGACCTACGCCTTGGCTCGTTCCAAACTACCTCTCCCTATGTTTTTTAAATAAAAAATGAATATTTGTGAACACTAAGGCTGCATTTGGTGAACTACTAATAAAGAATTGGAAACTAATTAAGCTATAAATTACTGCAGGACCAAGACAGCAACAATCATATGGCATATTGGCTATCAAATACGTCAACACTTCTTTTCTTACTCCAAAAAAGCCTCAAACCTGCTGGTGCAATTCCAGCTCGTAAACCGCAAGCACCAACTTCTCTTTTTGGGAGGATGGCAATGGTATTCCTTTTTTCTTTTTTTTTTTTTTCNNNNTTTTTCTTTATTGTTGTGTTATAAATTACCAGAGGATGATAAAATAAATGTGATAATTAAAATTATGTGCAGGGATTTAGGTCATCTCCTTCTGCCGTCAGCCATGCTGCTGCTGCTGCAGCCCTCGAGACAGTGCCTCAAGTCGAAGCTAAATACCCAGCTCTGCTTTTCAAGCAACAGCTTACGGCTTACGTAGAGAAAATATATGGCATTATTCGAGACAACTTAAAGAAAGAATTAGGATCGTTGCTTGCGTTGTGTATTCAGGTGCGTGCTTATGACTTGCACGCATAAAATAGTGGATCGACAGCCATTAAGTTGGAGACTTGTACAATTTAAAAAAGCTAAGAAGAAAGCAGATAAAAACATATAACAAAACAAAACCTAGACCCAAAAAAAAAAGATGGCACTGAAAGTAACTAATACCTGACATGAATAATTATATAGTAGGATGTTGTTGAACTTAGGGGTATGAAATTTGGATTCGTTGAATCACAGAATTGTTATAAACTTTGGTTATAAAAGAACCTAGATATACTATTTACCAAATACTCCATAATCCACTCTTTGTATAATGAATTAGGAATGATTACAAAAACCACCTCTAAGCTTTGGGGTATTTACATCAGGACCTAACTAATTAAACAGTCCCCTAAACCCATTCGTGAGGTCGGATTTCCTCTTACATTTGGCTCAACCCATTAATTGACCCTGATGGAACATTTTGACATTGTTGAGTATTTCAATGTTACCTTATGAAGTTTCCAAAATGTGACTTGGTTAATTTTTCATGGGTAATTTTTAGGGTTTAGGGTATTTTATGGCTACTGTCCCAAATAACTATAACTTTCCAAAACTCATGCCAGTTAGTTACTATGAGTTTTAACTCTTTATTACATTTTATATCATTGACTTCAAATGTAACTTAGGCTCCAAGAACATCTAAAGGAAGTGTACTAAGATCGGGGCGTTCATTTGGCAAAGACACCGCAACAAATCATTGGCAGGCCATTATCGATTGTCTCGACTCTCTTCTTGCCACCTTGAAAGAAAATTTTGTAAGGATTTATTTTGTGATGAATTATATTGGTTTTGAATCGTTTATGTTACTAACAAATGTTGAAATTTTCAGGTCCCTCCTGTTCTTGTTCAGAAAATATTTACTCAAACTTTTTCGTATGTTAATGTACAACTCTTTAACAGGTAATGATCATTGTTTATTTTTTAGTTTTTCCAAAAATCTTTGAACTTCTTTTGAAATTACTTGATCGCTGAGATTTAACTTACTTTACCCAAATGGTCTTTTTTTTTAAGCCTTCTTCTACGACGTGAGTGTTGTACATTCAGCAACGGGGAATATGTCAAAGCAGGATTGGCCGAGCTAGAATTATGGTGCTGCCAAGCAAAAGAAGAAGTAACTTCTTCTGATTAATAAATAGTCCTTACCTTTTTTTTTTTTGTGCCGTAATTGATTATATTTTTCACTTCTCCTGTATTTGATCTCAGTATGCAGGCTCAGCTTGGGATGAACTCAAACACATAAGACAGGCTGTTGGGTTCATGGTAAGTTTCGTTTTCATGCATATTTATTTTATTCACTTGTCTATATGCGATTCTTGCAATGTTAATAATTCAGTTTATGTCTTCCTGCAGGTTATACACCAGAAGTACAGAATATCATACGACGAGATCACCAATGATTTATGCCCAGTAAGTCAATTAGATCCCCGAATAAAATATTTGGGATAATTCCAACAGAATATGTTTTAGAAAATATTGAGAGCTACTATCTATCCTGTGGTGATATAAATTTTGATACGATTTCAAAAAAATTAATCATTTGAATCGATTTTGTCCGTCTTTCCAGATTCTGAGTGTCCAGCAGTTGTACAGAATATGTACTTTATACTGGGATGATAAATATAACACGAGAAGTGTGTCACCTGAAGTAAGTACTTCTGGCAATAAACTTGTTCTGCCACATGTTCTCTGGTTAAGGTTATAATAATGATATATCCTAATTCTAATGACAGGTTATATCCAGTATGAGGATCCTAATGACAGAGGAGTCGAGTAATGCTGCCAGCAGCTCGTTTTTGTTGGATGACAATTCCAGGTGATTTAGCGTATATTTCTGTAAATTTCACAAACTGTGCCTCTTGATAATCCAACATGGAAAGAGAAAAAAATGAACTGAATCTCCAGAGCTTATTATCAACACTCCCATAATTTCTTTTATTTTCAATTAATTTATTTCATTTGGTACATGTTCAGTGTTATTATTCTGCTGAAAAAGAAAAAATAGTAAACAAAAATTATATGTGACATTAGTTTCTCCAATTCATTCATGGGTATGGTTTTCTAACATGTTGATGTGTGTGAAATGCAGCATACCATTCTCGATAGATGAACTTTCCAATTCGCTAGACGTGAAGGACTTTCTAGACGTGAAGCCTGCCACAGACCTCCTCAAGAATCCTGCCTTTGGATTTTTACTCAGCTAAGGCATGTCAGCGTTTGTTCTTGTTTTGCGCATGGCAAAGCATCGTTTACAGTGTAGAATTTAGCAGTATAAATTTGTCCTTTTTTTATTGAATATAAAAACTTTTTTTTTTTCAATATGCTTTACATGTTTATTCTTCATATAGGGTATTTTTGGAACGTTTCTCATATTTAGAGCCAGGTAAATTCTTTCAATGTGCAAATGTACCTTTGTTTTTGTATTCGTTTTACCCGTGTGCCAAAATTGGCATTACTTTCTTTTCTTTTTTCTTTTAATTATACTTCATAGTTAGGGAGCCGACACTTTTTATGTGTCCTGCCGTGGTTTAGGAGTAACCACCCCTACCTTTTTATGTAATGATTGATAACTATTGTAAGGAACATATGATTGTGAACATATATAGTGATTGTAATTATATACGTTTTTACATACACCACCACGGTGGCCTT